TCAGTTACGACGTTTACCTATTGAAGATTTATAATAATGCTTAATGGAGAACTCAATAGTAGGCTTATCTATGAGGACATGATATTAAGTAGTAAAATAATTAAATCAAAATTTAAAGGGGTCATTAAGAATGAAGAAAAAATTACAATGGATATATTGGCCTCACTCCATTCTAAAAAATGTTTTTCGACATTCTGGAAAGGTACTAAGTAGCCTAATGTCCTCCTAGCTTACCATTTAGCGTGGAGGCTGAGAGTGACCATACTAGGATATCAAATATATTTACCAACAACAGTTTACTGTTTGTTCATCTCTTGAATCTGTGGAAAGGTTGAATGATGCTGAGTCTTATCGGTCAGGAGCACCCGTTAAGTTAACGTGTATAGAAATTAAAACAGCCGTTAAATGTATGAAGCGGGAAAAGTCTCCTGGGCATGATGGGCATGGGCATTGAGCATCTTCAAAATGCCGGTGTACACTTGCCAAGAGTATTAACCATGTTTTTAAATCTTTGTGTGGGCCGAATGGCCCACACCTTCCACAGGAGATGCTCGATACGTTAGTTGTACCTATTGTAAAAAACCGGACAGGAGACATAGCTGACAAAGGGAACTATAGGCCAATCTCATTGGCAACTGTAATAGCCAAAGTGTTTAACATGCACTTGAGTAACTGTACAAAACTACACGACACACAATTCAGTTTTCGTGCGGGGCTGTCTACAGAGAGTGCAATATTTGCGTTAAAACGGACTCTCAATTATTATACGGACAGAAAGACACCAGTGTATGTTTGTTAGCTAGATCTTTCCAAAGCATTCGACCTAGTTTCATATAACGTGTTATGGGAGAAGCTTCGGAGTGCGGGAGTTCTGACTGCATTGGTTTCAATATTATCTATCTGGTATGAAAAGCAAAAGAACTTTGTTAAATGGTCCAATGCATTATCAGAGCCATATAAACTGAAATCTAGTGTGAGGCAGGGGGGTCTGACTTCCCCGAGAATATTTAATATTTATTATAACAGCTTGCTTGTTGAGCCCAGCAGCACTCATGTCGGTTGCCATGTAGACGAAGTAACTTTAAATTATTTAAGTTACGCAGACGATACGGTGCTGCTGAGCCCCACAATTGGGGGAATAAGAAAGTTACTCACTATATGTGAAAGATACGCTGAACAGCATGGGCTGAAGTATGATCCCACGAAAAGTGAGTTATTGGTTTTAAGAGAAAAAATAAAAGTCCCTCATATGTCCCACACGTAAAACTGAACGGATTGCCTCTGTATAGGGTATCACAATTCAAATATCTGGGCCATATTGTGACAGAGGATTTAAAAGATGTGATCTAGATATGGAAAGGGAGCGCAGGGCGCTGGCTGTGAGGCGAAACATGTTGTCGCGCAGGTTTGCTGGTTGTTCAGCACCGATTAAAATAACACTTTTTAAGGCGTTTTGTCAAATATTTTACACCAACAGTCTGTGGGCTAATCATACCCGAAAAGCAGACAGCGTACTGCGCATTCCATATAATAACGCCTTCAGGGCGCTCTTGAGGCTTCCTTCCTGTAGTGCGTCAGGTATAAAACTTATATAGTTTTTTAAGTTTGTACGGTTTACTATTAATGTTTACCACTCTATGGGCCGTCGACGCCTGAAGATAAAATATTTTTATTTTATTTATATATTTATTTGTTTCATAGAATCAAATGCAATACATTTTTATTTTGTTGAAAAATACAATTATTTTTATAGAGAAAGGTACCGCATCATTTTGATAATATAAATAATTATTGCGTTTATAACTACTATTTTTCCTCATTAATTAACTAGAAAATATAAAGTATCCATAATTAAATTAAATCATTTAAGGAAAATGTGATCATTTTGATAAACATAGTAAAATTCATTTGCGTTTTATTATTGGTATTTTGAAAATAAACTGATAAGTTCTGCGTAACTCAAACTAAATAAGTACAAGTATTCAATTCACTGTTGTCACAAGTTACACGCCGCAGCGTATCCGACCGATTTGACCTATCCTAACCGTACTGTACTAAGGGGCCGTTCATAGTAGAGTAGCATATTATGTCCAAGTGAAGGATAATTTTTTGACATATTTTCATATGAAATATGTTGTTTGGTACAGTCATAATTTTTCAACTGTTTCCGATTTCACTTGGTAGATTACAAACTAACGGCATTGCCTTATCGTATAATTTTTATTTCAACTTATCTCGCTATTTCTTATTTTGTCTATGTTCTCTGTGCTCTTAAAGCACATATAATTTAGATTTCTCTCTAGTGTGCCCCGGTCATGTAGGAACATCGGGATAATAGTATATCCTATTTAAAAAAAATCGTTGCCCCTCTTGGATTTTCTTCTGTGTCATGGGTGCGTTTACGAATATAAAAATTCACATACACTTTAGACCCAGACCTGAAAGAAGAGACTGTCGAACACAGAGATGTTTGGCTCGGGATTTGACTCTATTTTTTCTTATAATTAGTTCTATGACATTTTCTATGGTGAAATAATTATTGAAACCCATCTGTTTGTTTCTGAGTCCGTTTATTTTTTTATAAGCCGATAAACGAGCAGACGCCCATATACACCCGGAACACCAGAGGCGTTACCAGCCATTTGGGGATTAGGGATTTGAATATTGTTGATGATTAAGGAAGGGATCCCAATGTCGTTTAGCCTAACATGAATACCACGGGGTACGTGGTTGCCATGGTTACGGAACCATGGCAACCACGTGACAGATCCTAAGTCGATCTTGTTGATTTGTGTATCGTAAGGCTGCAGTTAGACGACGCGAAAAAATTCTTGCGGCCGCCGCGCGGTGGCCGCGTACTAACTGTTCGGTTATAGCAAATTTATGTTTTATCAACTAGGACGTAAAGTTGAAATTAATTTTGAGTAACTAACCGCGCGGCGACCGCGCGGCGTTCGCTCCTCGATCACACGGCGGCCGCGCGGCCGTCTCGCTCTCACACTCACATTCACCAAACTTTTCTCGCCGTGCTAAAATCTGAATCAAGGTTGTTGCAAATATCAGCATCAGCATCAGCGGAATATCAGCACTATTGTCCACATCAGCATCAGCATCAGCATCCGCATTAATTGTTGCTGATGTTCAAAGTTCGTGTCGCGACATGACCGGCGCTGGGCGGAGTTAATGACACGTGCCGCAGTCGCTTTCCAGTTTTGGCCAATCAATATACATATATTTCATAACAAATCGTCAATCAATATTGCAAGCATTGCAAACAAAATGCAGTAGGTACTTATCCTGTCACCTCCGCCTGCAAGCGTCCCTAGCGCACAGTTATTTAGCAGTGCCGGCATTATATACACACCTACCCACAACAGACTGCAAGCTGAAAAAGCAGCTCAGTTGTTTTTTTTTTAAATACAACTTTCCGTTAATAGGATTCCAATATTAATAATAATTTATTACTTCACTAGTTTTTACGTATTTGTTGATTCTTTAAAAAGTTATAGAATTATTAAAATACATCTTTTATTAAAAATAGATCGATGAAAATATAATATTTACCTACCTAAAAAAATGTATAAAATTGAGTAGGTATAAAAAACCTTAAAATCAGCATCAGCTGATGTAAATTACAATAAATCAGCATCAGCATCCGCTGATGTGATAAAATCCTGCATCAGCAACAACCCTGATCTGAATCCAAAATTTTCTACATTTCTTTTTTTCTTTCTTTTTGCTTTATCGGTACAAGTAATATGCAACCATAATTTTATTCTTCTTAGTCAAATAGCTCATAACGAACACGTGTGAATTTTAAGAAAGACCAAGATCAACTGGAAATGTTTCGGGTTTGCAGTGGCGTGGCGTGGCCACCAGGCCTGACCGCGCGGCCGCCGCGCGGTCGCCGTACTTTCGCCGCGCGGCCGACACGCTGTAACATTGCGTGTCATATAAACGCGCCCTAACATCATCCGTCACTACAAGTATTGATGAGTTTGATTTCCATATAAGTCGCACGTAATAATAATCATAATTATTTTTCTAAATAACATTAAATATTTGTTTAATTTTAAAATGAATAATTTACTTCTATGCTATTATTTTATGGGGATTTTTTTACTGCACCTCAATTTAGAAATTTAAGCAAACCAAATTTCTCCACTAATAACCTACTGCATGTCGAAAAAATGACTGTACTACAAATTACAAAAACATATTATTACATCGTAAAACAAAAATACTAATTTGCACACAAGTTGTTTAATATTACAACGGAATTACCAAAATAGGTTAGGTTAGGTTATGAATTATTACAATTACAAAATAAGTTAGGCTAGGTTAGGTTATGAATTATTACAATTACAAAATAAGTTAGGCTAGGTTAGGTTATGAATTATTACAATTACAAAATAGGTTAGGTTACGAATTATTAGATAGTATAATTGATTTATTTGATGAGCAAATTTAGTGTGCAATTCAGTCTTTTAGTGGTAATTTCGAATATTTTAATTGAAAAAAGGGAATTTATAGTTAAAGTATTAAATACCACCCTTATTTTATATCAGTCATTATTATTATATATATAAATTGCATGCAGTGGATTATTTGCATTTATTCAGATGCATTTTACTTTATAATTTATATATAATTAATACATCAAATCTTTTACATGCTAAAGGCTGTCCGCTAGTCGCTGTCGCTTGTGAATTGATAAACGAATTGTAACTAGCTGTCTCACCTGTTGCGGTCTTGTTCGCATTTTGCCCGCGAAAAATAATATTTGAAATAAAAATAAAGTTTCGTTGTTAGAAAAGTTCATCTATATTTCTATTTCTTATTTCTTTAGATAATGCCATAATATGTTTACATTAGTGTTTTATTTCTTTTTTAACGTAGATGTCTACCCTATATACTTAATATAAATATGAGTGGCAGTGTTATTGGTCTTATACCGTTCTATTAAGATAAATAATAACAGTTATACTGTTGTCACTTACAAGTTAGTGTCGACTGTTTCATCATCGAAATCCTCTCCTAGGTGTAGTTTTAGTTGGTTTTTATCATTGAGATAATAATTTTTTATGAACCTAATAGTCACTTTGCACTTTAACGCTATTGGTTCCGTAACATTAGCATTAGGTTCCCAGCACACATCCTTTCTCATGAGTAGAACTTGTCCTGGTGGACAACACTTGCTTTCGGCTATAACATAGCCAACCAGTGCAAAGAAAAATAATGTTTGAATGTAATTTAACTTCATTTTGTTTTGTTATTTTATCACTTGTACTATACGCATTATACACAAAACAATATAAATATTAATTATTTCGAAATATCACACCATTGCTAACTACTATGTACATGGTTTACTTGCTAATAAACGTAACGTTACGAAAACGTGATTAAATATATTCTGGCGCACTCACGCTGTGGCACACTCAACAGCTTATTGCTGACTGAGACAGACACGCGCAGAACATTTTCGTATATATATATCCTATATTACTACCGATTGCCTGCAGTATGTTTACAACTACTGCTGTAAACACACCTTTAGTTTGAGCGGAGCTCTACTATATCTATTTCCAGGTTATACAGGTACCGTACAGTTCCCATTTCCATGAATTTTTCGGGACGTAACGGAAAGACGTAACTACATTGTGGTGAATTTCATACGAATTACTAATTTATAGGAACGGGATCCCGTGGGATTTCCAGGATAAAAACAATTCTAATCCCTTTTCCTGGGACATTTTACGTTAGTAGTAAGATGCAAAACTTAGCGTGGATGGCCACCAATATTACGACACATCTGTCATCAGCAGTGATCGGAAAAAGGTGAGCTAATTTACCTAAACTTCAAGGAACAAAAACAAAAAGTGGAGACTTCCTTACTACAACATTTTTTTCGGGAAAGTTCCGGTTCCAGTTTCAGGATATTTATATATTACATTTAATATAATTGTTATTAATACAGAAAACAATTGATTTCGTTTCGTGATTTTATTTCTTAAATTTAACATTAAACCAAAAAAAAAAGAAAACTTTTATTGTTTTCAACAATAAATATTTTAAGATGTAAGAAAGAGCATAAAATAAAATTATTCAACACATAGTATGTATACGGAGACGAGTCCGGATGGCGAGTGTTTTCATTCATCTGATGACTTCAGAGAGCAACAAAATAAATATGCTGTACCGTTTATCGAACTGCCATTTAATTATAAAGACACTTAATTAGCACCAACAATGTTTGATTATAATATAAATTAATAATTTTCAAGAGCTAATCGGTTATGTGAATAATTAACGCGAGACTCTCTAATATAGAAAATACTAGCTTGTGCCTGCGACTTCGTTCGCGTGAAATAGTGCCTTCCGGCAGATTTTTGGTTTTACCCACATTTTTGGTTTTTCGGTTTCAGCAGCTCTTTGAGTAGCGTGACCCTCAGCGTCTAAGAGCCGTTGCTCCTGCCTCACCTCTTCAGTCTCAGCAGCTCTTTGAGCAGCGTGACGCTCGGCGTCTAAAGTTAAACGGGCTTGAGTCTGTTCTTGAGACTCTTGACTTCTTGCAACTCTTTTAGCTCGAGCTCCGCTGGAACTACGGGATAATTAGACTTGCGTTTTCTCGTCATTGAAAAAAGTAGTTGAAAAAAGACCTTAAACTAAAGAAATATTACAATCTTTCCGAACTTAAATTGAAAACTAACTGAAAACAAAAGAATTATAAAAAAACAATACGAACTTGGATAACAATTTTAAAGAAATTATATTACAACCTGTTCCCGTATTAATCTGTCAAACACCAAGCGGTCACCGGTGACCGCGACCTATTGTTCTTTAATTGTGTCTATAAAACCGGTACTCGACGAGTTAACCAAGCTTAAAACTAAATAATTAAAAAGGAACGATCTAATTAGTTTAAAAATTAAAATGAATTTAGACATACAATTTTAGTATCTTCAAACCGTGATCAAACTAAACATACATTAGACAACAACCAGACAACCCAACAAATAAACCTCTTAACCTACTATTACAACAACGGAACCAATTTTATATTTACGAAACGATCAATCCACAATTCCACGACAGTACCTTCGTGGTCATCTCTCCGTCCCCGACTGGGGTCGAGTCCGGTGGTTTACCCCGCCAGGAGCTGCGCTCTAGCCGGCCAAGCCCAGCGAGCAGCAAGCTGTTGGCGGGGGGTGGTCATGTCCAGTGGGGGCGCCGCTAGGGGCTTCGCTCGAGCCGGGGGGGGAGCTCGGCGAGCGGCGGGCTGGTTACTTTCGCATTTATAATATTAAATTTAAAGTTTAATAAGTTTAAATTTAATTTAATAAGTTTAATTTAAATTAGTTTATTTATTAAGTTTGGATGTAGTTTGTGTGCGTGACCGTCCTCTTTCCTACACCACAGACGCCATTTGTATCCACAACTCCGTTTGGCAGTTATGTTCCAGCTCTTCGAAGTCTCCAACACATAGCATTGTAGAATAAACCTCCTTGAATTAAATTCATCAATTCTATATCTCCACGTTATGTGTTTTCTATATTAACAAATTTTTATTCTTTGTTTCAGCTCTTAAACATGCTTAAATTTTATGCCAGGTTTGAAATAAGTGATGAAACAGGAGATCCCATGACAGATAGAGACATGACTTTACAACATTATTCCAGAATAACTTCACTTCAGGTATGTGTTTAAAAACATAAAAATATATTTTGCGTTGTACACACGGCTACACATCGAGCTTTACATAACCAGTATAAACTGAACGTTAAATGTGCGGAAAAATGATGCGACGCGACACCAGGATAAACTGGTTTTGTATAGATTGATGTGTGGTGTGTACAAAAACATACATGCCAAAATTATTGAATCGCCAAAATCGCAATTTGTGGATCACACAAATAGTTGTTCCGTGCGAGAATCGAACCCGCTACACGTTGCGCGGCAGCCGGTTACCCAGCCACCGCGCCAACCGTGCAGTCCAATATGCAAATAAAATTCGCATAATTATAATAATATTGTAATTAAGTTTATGACAAATCAATGATTCATATGCAATTAGTTATATATGAATCATTTGTTATAATTATATGAATCATTTTATTTCTTACAAACTTTAAATTACTATTTTTGGTAGTGGCGATGACAAGTTGTGAAATTCAATATTTTTTTTATTTTTCGGAATATCAAAAACTACACATTTCTATGAATTTTGCATGAGACCGCTAATTATAGCATTATAACTATTGCAATGATTGTTTGTAATTTTTTTTTGCAGAAAGCAGCATTTTCGAAATTCCCGGACCTGCGTTTATTTGCTCTTGCCAATGTTGCCAGCGTTGATACCAGAGAGTCCTTGCAGAAACATTTTGGTAATTTAAGGTAAAATAAACGTAATAACATTTTAATAATACTGTAGGCGCAACGTCTGGTGAGTAGGGCGAATGATATAGTCCCCGGTGCTCGCTCGCCTTGGCGCGCGCGGGTTAGAAGCGGGGGCGGGGGATGGTACTCCCGATTCCCGCGTACAATGGTGCCAACTTAATAATTATCTAAGGCGGCGTGTTACACTCTCCCTTTTGACCAGGGAAATCTCCCGAATGGTCAAACAACAATATTCAGAACGCCGCGTTTAGGTCACCTGCCGAGGTCGACCTTTATTACGTTTAGGGAAGACAGGGCATTCACCCTCTCCAGCATGGTAAGGACGCAAATCGGTCACGTGATACTTACCGAAGATTTCCAGTCTGAGTATGACCTACAAGGTAAATGGTAGGACTCACCTTTTTGGTGACGACGTATGGCCCATCGTGTTTAGGATTGAACTTTGGTGACACTAAGTCACCTTCCTGAAATTCATGGGCTGACACCGAAGACTTCCACCCACTTACTAGTGGTGTCCTCCGCTATGAGGATCCATCTCTCACCTTGGGGTCCTTTAGGCAGCGGGCCAAAGAGATCAGTCGCGATAGTTTCCAACCTTTGGGCCGGGACAGGAGTTGAAGCAGGGTGGCTGGTTTTAATGGCTTGTAGTGTTGACATTCGAGGCAGGTCTTCAGATAGTCAATTACAAACCGTCTCCTGCCTGAGAAATAGAATCGTTGCGAGATACAATTAAGCTGTCACTAAAGAGTTTAAAGATATTAAAGTTAAGTCGACTGAAGATCTCTGGGAAATGTCGGTTAGGATGTATCGGTCTTTTATAGAAACTATAGCACCTCATTTAGCATTCATCTTTAATAAAGGTATAGATCAAGGAGTTTTCCCGGATTTAATGAAACATAGTAAAGTAGTTCCTGTTTAAATCAGGTGATAGCTTTAGGCCGGCCGGTCTCTATTTTTCCAGTGCTCAGTAAAGTGTTTGAAAGACTAATGCTTACCCAGATGCTGCGTCACTTTAACATGAATGCTATTTTCCATGATCAACAATACGGGTTCACCAAAGGTCGCTGTACTACTGACGCGGGAGTAGCGCTAAGTAAACGGATTTTCGCTTCGTGGGAATAGAAACATGATGCTATTGGAATATTTTGTGATCTTTCGAAGGATACAGTCAAATACTGTGTTGAGCATGACACATTATTGCTGAGACTCATCAAAAGTCATCAGAAAACTCACCAAGAAAATACTCCAAACCCATACGCTCTTCCTCAGCCAACAGAGTACCCTCATCATCCCTCAGTAGGTTGAGAGAGGCACACTCATCCACCGCCTCGCGAGAACTCTCCGTCAGAAGGGGGTGAATGACCTGAGGCCGATCAGCTGTATACCATGTCATCGTGGAAAAATTCAATACCAACTTAGACTTTATAATGAAATGTATCCCTAATAGCGTTTCGTTATTTGAAGCATCGGGAAACACAACAAACTCAATAGGAATACACAAAGACATACAATTCATTAAGACATGTTAACAGTACACTATTAGTTCGAGTACTACCATCAGCAAGTCTAACCGACATAGTCTGCGATTTAAACTTAACACCTAAACGTAATAAAATTAAAAAAACTGCGTTTAAAAAACAAAAAGTCAAAACTAAAAAGCAAAAAATAACGATTATTAGTACTGATAGGTAAAAAGTCGGTGCCATAAGTTCCATACAAAATTATTCTTTAAAACCTTAATAGGTACCTCATTCACAATTTTGTGGACATTAAGTTATATCATTATGATATGAGCTTATGGCACCGACTTCTAACCTATCAGTGGGTGGGTAACCTATCAGTACTAATAATCGTTGTTTTTTGCTTTTTAGTTTTGACTTTTTGTTTGTTATTAGTTTTTGGTTGTTTGAAGTCGGTTTTTTTAAACGCAATTTTTATTTTATTATTTTATCATTTTATCATTTTCAGTGTAAAACTACATATATACCCGTTTTGTTACTTACAATCGACATAGGTGCAAAGTTCTAATCAATAAAAATTAATCAAGCCCAAACACAAATTAGTTACTGTATACCGTTGAGGAGTTCCCTTAACAATTACACTTCTTCATCATCAGACCCTTAATGGCAGCCTCACTCTATCTAGGTGTAAAGTCCTCATCAATACAAATTAATCAAGCCCAAACACAAATTAGTTACTGTATACCGTTGAGGAGTTCCCTTAACAATTACACTTCTTCATCATCAGACCCTTAATGACAGCCTCACTCTATCTAGGTGTAAAGTCCTCATCAATACAAATTAATCAAGCCTAAACACAAGGTAGTTAATATAAACCGCTGAGGAATTCCCTCGATTGGCTTTCGGCTCCATCATCAGATCGACTCCAGACCTTTATCAAATGGTAGTGGTTTTCAATACTTAATGAAAAAATTAACAAATGCACTAGTCGCACCTATAATTTTTAAAAGTTCCCTTCGGTTTCCCTGGTCTTCCATCACCAAATCCTGATTTCCTTATCATGAGACCATTCTGGGACTATATCCTTTCCAACAAAAAAAGAATTATCGAAATCGGTTCATAAATAACGGAGATATCGGCGAACAAACATAAAAAAAGCATATATACGGTCGAATTGAGAACCTCCTCCTTTTTTGACGTCGGTTAAAAAAAAATTGTGTACAGCATCGAACCCGCGATACTACGCCGAGCGGCTGTGTTTTTATAGATAGCGTCCGTTCGTACTTTACCCGGGGAATTTTCACTTGCCACTTGGTGTATAGTCAGTACTAAGTACAAGAGAATAGAAACACAGGAACACCGGAAAATCGTCAACGGCCGGGTAAGCACAGACTGGTTTACATAAACGCGATGGCGAGCGGAGGCAGACTGACTGTCCGGCGCTCGCTCGCGTTAGCGCGCGCGGGGTAGAAGCGGAGGCGGGGAATGGTACTCCCAATTCCCGCGTACAATGGTGCCAACTTAATAATTATCTAAGGCGGCGTGTTAGATCCTTTGTTTGTTTTCATACAAAACGGCAATACCATAGTAGGTAATAATTTCATATACCTATTATAGTATAAATTGCGTTTATTGACTGCAATAATTGTGTTTGTTTTAGTGAAAATGCACTTCGCGCTATCGCAACGTATTTGAATCTCGTACCACCTGAAGGTAAAGAAAATGAAGCTCCTTGGCATCGGCTAGACAAACCGTTCTTAAAGGAGTTATTGGTAAGTAGGAAAATAATATTTTTTTCAACAAGATTTTTGATACTCAAGTAACCATTTGCTAGAAATAAAAAAAATATAACATAAGTGTGAGTGAAAGATTATGTTAATTTATGAATTACTTCGTTCTCGTATTATAATTATATTAATTTTTCTTCTGCGTCAGATTTCGCGACATGAACGCCGCATTTCACAACTAGAAGAATTGAACACCATGCCTCTATACCCTACAGAGGAAGTTATATGGGATGAAAATGTCGTCCCGACAGAAATCTATAGTGGAGAAAATTGCCTTGCTTTACCCAAACTGAATCTGCAGTTCCTTACCTTACATGACTATTTGCTGAGAAACTTCAACCTGTTTCGTTTGGAGAGCACGTGTGAGTATACTTTAACTTACCCTCTTGCTAGTTTTAAAGTATTTTTCCGCATTTTGCATCAAACGACTAATGCAAAACCGCTTATCTTACAGATGAAATCCGTCAAGATATAGAAGATGCTGTATATCGACTGGCACCGTGGTAAGTATTATCAAGTAATTTAAGATCTGTGTCAAATATGAGTTTTTAAAATTTCCAGCCAAGTAACTTTGGAAGCAGGTTCAAGTAAGAACCTGATTCGGTCGTCATTTCTTTGTAACTAACCACAAACCATTCGCAGGCGTTCTGAAGATGGGAGCGTATATTTTGGTGGCTGGGCTCGAATGGCGCATCCCATAACGAGCTTCGCAGTAGTGGAGGTGGCTAAGCCTAACATTGGAGAAAAAGCACCCTCATGTGTAAGGGCTGATGTTACAGTCACCCTCAGCGTTAGAAATGAGATCAAATATGAATGGGAAAGCTTACGAAAGCACGATGTGTGCTTTTTAATCACAGTGCGGCCAACACAGGGCATCGGTACGTATACTTCGATAAGTTTCTTAAGGTCCCTTACCAGCAGAGGAAATGTAACGCTTGTTGATCTTCTTTCGAAGTCATAAATCCTTAACTCTTATTTATTTGACAGGTACAAAATATGATTACCGTAAAAGCATGGTTGAGCAGGCTAGCATAGTGTATGTTAGAGGATGCGAAGTAGAAGGGATGTTGGATGCCTCTGGTAGAGTGATAGAGGAGGGACCCGAGCCCCGGCCTGAGCTCGAAGGAGACTCCAGAACATTCCGATTGCTCCTCGACCCTAACCAGTACAGGCTTGATCTTGATCATGCCAGTAAAGGCAATGAGGTACGTCAACTTTCATCCGGTGTCACTTTTCAAAGAAATATTATTTATGCATATTAAAAACTGAAAAGACGTCTTTATGAAAATATATATGTAGAATTGTATGTAAAATTATATGTAAAATGGAATGATTATGACTATAAATTTACTTTTCATATGAGCGCACGCGCGCGTCTGCATTTACCCGATGTAATTTTTTGTAATTTTTCAACCAACATTCCATTAGCCAGTCTGTTTGTAGTTCTTAAAATATATTGTTTTGAAAACATACAGCGAATCTGATTCAAAATCACGTACGGCTGAAACATGTTTATTCAATCGCTTTCCTCATGGAACGAAATAAGTAAAACAGTTACATTTAGAGTGCTCTACGGTGAAACTTGTTAATGTAAACCTCTCCCTCCCTCGCCTGACCTTTTCACCAGTTATGTTATGAAGGGCATGTAAATTGGAGTTGAACCTATAACCATTAGGAACAATTCCAGCCTCGATAACCCCAAAAACCTGAATAACACTTGGCCCGACCCAAGGCCTTCGTTTAGCAGTCTTGTGGTCACTCAACCCATGAGCCAGTTTATTTAGATTTTACTATGTTTCTAGGTATTTTATAGTTTTGATTAGTTAATAGGTATATGCCCGATTTATAGCTACGTACCAAAATGATATGTAGCTATCACTCGGGCATATACCTTTCCTATCGGGAAATATGAACTGTGTAACATTCCAAGCCCATAAACATGCGATTATTTTTATTCTCCTCAATACAGGATGTATACGAAACTTTCAATATAGTGATGAGACGCAAACCCAAAGAGAACAACTTTAAAGCCGTGCTAGAGACGATACGAGAGCTGATGAACACAGAGTGCGTTGTGCCCGAGTGGCTCCATGATATCGTCTTAGGCTATGGTGACCCAGGACAAGCTCATTACACCAGGTAAACAAATTAGACACCATACATATGTCATGGTTTTTCAAACAGATATAGTACCATCATCCCCCAAGAAACACCCGTTAGATACCTTGGCAATAACTTATTTGCCTAACCGACATCCTTATGACTAACTAAATTTCATTGTATTGTTTTTATAACCAACCGACTTAATATTAATAAAATCGAAATAAATATATTTGTTTGTTTGTTTATATTAAAACAGCACAAAAAATAGTGTTACAAATGAGAAATTGGTAGACCATCATTAAAGAAAACCAGTAACATACTTAAATGCTAAGTACTTGTAATTGTTCCAGAATGCCAAACGAGATACCGACACTGGATTTTAATGATACGTTTTTAGACATGGAGCACCTTCGAAACAGTTTCCCCGGGTACGAGATCAAAGTACAGACTGATGACCCTAGGAAACTAGTCAGACCATTTAAGTAAGTGCAAAAAAATACTGCGTCATCCAACTATGGACATCAAAAAATTTATAACATGACAAAGCTATTTTAATCTAGTTGGTATCCGGTATGATCTGTTCTAACTTATCCTTGCATCAGTTTTATGATCTTTCTAAAGTGATAGGAGCCGCTGACAACTTTACGGGCTCCGGCTCGAAGTTGGAGTAAGAATGGTATGATTTTTAGTCAGTAAGAGTCACGCTCTCTCTTACCTTAGCCTTACCCAAGGCAGGTGGAGACATTGGATGATTGATACCCCCTCAAAAAAAAAAGTGATATGACCTTAATATATGTACTTTGTTACCTTGTATGTTTTTTGTAACTGTGTGGGAAATGGGATATCTTAGTAATGATCTTGAAACGTGTAGGTATGCATGCGTCACCTAATACTGATCAAAAAACATGATGGGCATAGCAAAATTACCATCTGTCACTTCTCAATGACAGGTGGTCATTCCTCTCTGATTAATTTTGTAGCGTGATTCAGGATAGGCCAAGTTTTTAAGACCAATTGCTTCCTGTGGTCTCCATTTATCAACCCTAAGTTACCGAAATTATGTATGGCAATAGGCAATAGGCTTACCATACGTATCATAGGACTATAACGGCCACTTACACACTTTATTGTACTGTTCACAAAATAAATATGTGGTATCACAATTTGTAGTCGCGTCTTAAAGCTCTCTTCAGTATAAAGGTACCATTTCTCACGATTTTGAGTGATCTCAATTCACATGTGATCTTGATGTCCTCTTATCAAGGTTATTTATTTGTCATTCTGTAGTATCCAGTCGACATCTTATTCAAAAGACTAGCAGAAAGTGTAATAAACATCTATTTTGACAGAGTAACGTTCGAGAATGTTCTCCAAAAACAGCAGAATGGTGGTGAACCCATGGACGAAGATGAACCTCGGAAGGTGATCCTTGTGGAACCTCACGTCCAACCCAAGAGAGGACCCTACCTATCCAACGAACCTAAAAAGTAAGTCGTAGCTCCCGAATTATCCGACAGTTAGGATTAAAGATAATTTTTATTTGCTTAAACAAGTGTGCGTACATAAGCCAAGGTGGACACAAGATTAAGTGGCAACATATTTCTGTCTAGGCGAGGTGTAAAATGGCTTGACAAAGTGAGCAAAAATAATAACATTCTTCTTCTTCTTATAGTGCCACTTCATTCCTGAAGGTAGGCCGTCAACTTTTTGAATTGGTCCTTGTCATTGGCCAGACGGAAAAGTTGTTCCACAGAGCTGATACCAGTCCACTCCCGAATATTGCGCAGCCACGACTTTTTCCTTCGCCCAGCGCTTAATAATAACATAACGGATTAAAAGTAAAATCAAACTTGAGTAACACTGTCCTTGATTATAAATATCTACTCGTTTTACACTACAAAATATCCGTTAATAACCTTTGGCGGAGTAGTACGATAAACTTTTCAATGAGCTCTTTGTAATTCATATCAATGTGGTAAAACCCACGTATCTGTTAACTGGTTATTTACAACGGGTTTTGTTACAGAAATACTATACCTTTCACGCCGACCCAAGTTGAAGCTATCCGGTCTGGAATGCAACCTGGATTGACCTTGGTTGTAGGTCCACCGGGGACAGGTAAGATCAAAATTATAAGTAAAAATAACCGTCACTCAGTAGCGCGTGTACATAACTGTACGGCGTAACATTATTTACTTTTCTCAGTTTCTTACACATTTGTTTTTTAGATATACGGATGTATAGACGGCGATAAGGAAAGACCATCTTTCTAATTAATTTGCTGTCTTAAAATATAATAATAATTTTCCTGACACCAGGAGGCTTACTCTTGAATCCAATTCCGATCGATCGACATTGGTATTATTAAATTTCGTACTCTCGAGTTGCAATCAGTATTGCGTGAATATTTAATGAACTTAATGCTATTTAAGTTGAGTTTGGCTTTATATTCCGTACTCTGAATGCTATTTTGACAGCTACGATAGGGGTTGTATATTTTTGGCATTGAATCATAATTGAGTTTTTATTGGATTGAAATTGCATTGACATTGAGATCGGTTTCAAGAGTAAGCACCCTGTTCACACCTTGTCTTTCTTAAACCCTAACCTATTCATAACATTGTATCTAACAGGTAAAACAGACGTGGCTGTGCAAATAATATCAAATTTATATCACAATTTCCCATGGCAGCGAAATTTGGTGGTAACACACAGTAATCAAGCGCTTAATCAGCTCTTTGAGAAAGTAGCAGAGTTAGATGTGGATGAAAGGCATCTGTTACGTCTCGGGCATGGTGAGGAAGCTCTGCAAACTGATAAGGATTTCTCCAGGTAAGTCAACTTCTAATTTTTTTCACCTCAGTGTATATTATCAAGAAAATTCAAGAAAATTGCATATTTGACACACAAGACATCAAAGACATGCGACACCACCTTAATTTTCATACCTGCATACCAAATAACTTGGCTGACTGTATAAGTACACTGTACAATCACATAGTACACAGTACGTATGTGTACATACGTATGTTTATCGTGTGACTACAAAGTATCCGCCGCCGTGCTAAATATTTCTTAGTACCCACTTTAAAGTTTCTTAGTACATTAGAAAATCTCGTGGAACTCGTCATATTTATCTGTAAACACAAATGACAAGTGTACAATTACAATTAGACATACGTATTTAACTAATGCGACAATAATGGTGACCTGAATGACGAAGGAGTCATAAATTATATAAACATGTACAATTGCACACGTTTGAAATTTACGATCATCCGAGGCCTTAGTACGAGTCTGTATTACGTTAAAAGTAATCGAAACTATTCGAGTTACAATTTCGTGGTGGCCCGCAAGCTTTAGACGCCCGCTTTCATGTGTTAGGATGCGGGTTCGAAACCTACCAACGGCAAGTACCAATGAGACTTTTTCTGACGTAGGTACTTTCTACTATTATTTAGATACCGCTGACAAACGATGACCGAAAACATCGTGAGGAAATCTGGGCTTTTTTTAAGGGGGGGGGGACTATTTTCTTCGAATGACTTCTCCCGCCTTAGGAAAGCTGGGCTTACAATATCTTATATGCTATTATATAAAGCGGAAGAGTTTGTTTTTTTGTTTGTTTGTTACAAGTACAAGTCTGATTTGAATAATTCTTTTTGTGTTGGATAGCGCATTTATCGAGGATGGCTATAGGCTATAAAGCACCACACTACGACCAATAAGAGCTTAGCAGAGCGTGCGAAACCGCGCGGAAGTAGCTAGTCCAATAATAAGTTTGAAATTGAAAATAAAACCCGCGTTGAGCAAGCGTGGTGATTCATGCTCAAAACTTCTCCGTGTGAGAAAAGACTGCTCAGTAGTGGGCATGTACATGTATAGGTTGTTGGTGAGTCGAAACGAGTATGCATACGCATTTGACGCTCTGTTGGCCGGCTGCAATAAACCAACCAATCGGAGTGCAGAGGGCTTAGTACGAGTTAGTTTTACGTTAAAAGTAATCGAAACGAGAACGCGTTCGGCGCTTTGATTGGTTGGTTCATTGGCACCGGCCAATCACAGCACCGAACGCAGTCTCTGTACAGTACACTGTGTCACTGTCTCAGTTGTACTAAGGCCTCTGACCAATGACGGTTTGTTATATGTATTTATTTATTTACTACTGCGCGGTTTTACTTCTGCAATATAAGTACGTGTGTTATACATACAAAACTTCCTTTAGAATCACTCTGTCTATAACAAAAATCGCATCAAAATCCGTTGCGTAGTTTTAAAGTTCTAATCATACATAGGGACAGACAGACGGCGGAAAGCGACTTTGTTTTATACTATGTAGTATCCTTCCTCGATAAATGGACTATCCAACACAAAATTATTTATTCAATTCAGATTAGTTAATAATGCGTACAAAGAAACAAACTCTTCAACTTATATATTAGTAAACTAGATTTGTTAAACAATATATTTAATTATACGTGTTTATTGGTGATTTACGAATTAGCATGCATACAAATTTTATTTTATAGGCTTTTTATGGATAATCAATTTAAATTATTCGTAAAAATCTATTGGAATGGCAATGGCTGATTCACATTGCCTTACCACGTGGCTTTAATTTCCTAACCTAGTGAATATAAATAACTTAATTTCCCTTTTACGGAATACCTGTTTTGTTCCAAAATAAATTATAACCGATGTATAGTTTTTGCCGATAGGTATTTACCTTGACCGTTCCCCAATAGTTATACTCAAGTAACTGACCTTGAACTGTTAAAAAATGTCGTCTCTGTGCCATTACAATTACTATTGAATATTGAGAATGAAAAATAAAATAATTACTCAATCATCCAGTACCAGTCTGTCTTATAAAAACGGACAGATGTTTTATCGGTCCATGCCATATACAATACATATTGTACTAACATAGCTGCCAGACATAAAAAGAGGAGTTGACGAGGGGCAACGGTCGCCCCTAATTCCGCATATGGTCTTAAGGTGTAGGATACGAAAAAAATAATATAAAAAAGAAAACGGTATAATATTTTGAAAGAGTGTACAAATGTATTGTATCGTTATCGAAAAACTTATTTGTATTGTATCTTTACCAACCAGTTTATTTATTTTTAAACATGTGCCAATTATTACGTAAGCGGATATAAAAATATAGTTAACAAACATCAGATCAGAAGTATTGATAATTCGAATGTTGAAGCAACCAGTTAGCATGTGCTACGTACGTACTAGATTACGTCACTAAAAGTCATCCCACACGTTATGAAATATGTCATAATGACATACGATTTAAAGTTCATATTTAAATGACAAGTTAATTGCTGGGTTGGAGCCATGCCGGAGCCGTGCTTGTAAGGTGTGCGATGACCTTAATGGTTACCAGTTGGTGTTTTAGTGTCTCTTCCTTTTTAGGAGGGTTCAAGTAGCAGAGTACCTAGTGTTTACGTCATATGTAATAATAAAACGCATTTATCCGGGCTTACGCAGTGATATAAAGTAACTGCTCCCTTCATAAATGCTCTTACATTCCCTTTGCCCCTTTTAATTCGACTAAAAATAGTAAAATAGCTTCCGTATAACCATAAAGATCGTACGGAGTGCTACGCTTTTAGACATGAGGCAAAATGTTGATAAAGATTTCAACTTAAGATGAACAGTTTTAGGTGCGCCATCCATATACCGTAGATCCGGCATAACATAGTAGTGGATGATAAATTTGTCAAATCATTGGACCCAAGAACGTATCAAGATCTGTCTAATTTGTCCAATACATTTTAAGCTGATAATAAATAGACTAGGATTTGTGAATCTTAATGAATTTTTATTTTTGATCAGATATGGTCGTGTAAACTACGTCCTAGCAAAGCGCTTGGAACTTCTGGAGCGTGTAGGTAGGCTGCAGAAGACCCTGGAAGCTGGCGAGGATGCCGGAGCCACCTGTGAGCTAGCCCACCACTTCCATGTGTACCATGTGCGACCAAGATGGGAGACATTCCTCAATAAATGTGCTCAAGATCAGGTAATACGATCATAATGGTCCAAGATTAATTGTTAAAACAGGGATGTAAACTTTCAATAACCCAACTTCGATCCTAAACCACGTCAACCGCAAGCTAAGCGAGGAGATTGGAGATACTGGCACACCCTTTTTAAACGAAAACCTATTTAATTGTACCGAATGTATTTCGGGTGATAATGATGAAGGTTTCCAGAAATATATATTTACTACGACAACTCGACTTTCACTCTATAAAATAAAATACAAGCTGGAACTGGTGATGCACATCACCAGTTCCAGCTTGTATTTTATTCTAATCTGATTTTATACATTTTTTGCCTTGTAAATAACTTGTGATGGTGTGATGCGTTTTTACTGAGTATCTTTCATTTTCCTTTTTTAGAACAAGTCTATAGAAACCATAAGCAAAGAGTTTCCATTCCACGAGTTCTTCGACGATGCACCCAAGCCCCTGTTCCCTGGAAAATCTTACGAAGAGGACATGGAAGTCGCTCAGAGTTGTTACAGGTAATTTTCTATTGGATACAAAATTAAGTTTTTTAACAGTATAGTATCACAGGAATTTGGTGGCTCCTTTGTAGTTCTAAGTAAAACTCAATACTTAATTACTGAAAAGTTTATTCTATAATCTATACCAAATGCCTTAGTAAGATTTTTTTATACGTTAAAAGTAATCGAAACGGGTAAGCGTTCGGCGTTCTGATACAATGAACCAACCAATCAGAACGTCGAATGCAGTCTCGTTTCAATTACTTTTAACGTAAAAGAAACTGGTACTAAGGCCTCTGATTCTTATAAGAAACAGCGTAACATTTGTTTAAACTTCCAACCCAAATGGAAATGGACGTTACAACACTTTGCGCGGGGAAACTACTAATCTGTCACATTTGACAGATGACAGCGTCAACATAACAGCCGTTATCACAGATTAAACTAGTGACGTTCATTTAGTTGATTTTCGTCTTAATTTTGTTTTCACAGATACATTGATCACATTTTCGAGGAACTTGAAGAATTCCGTGCTTTCGAACTGCTTCGGTCAGGGTTGGATAGATCGAAATATTTACTCGTGAAGGAAGCTAAGATTATAGCGATGACGTGTACCCATGCAGCACTTAAGAGATCTGAATTAGTACAAATGGGTACGTAATTATTCTCAATGGAAATTCTTAGTAATACTCAATGAAAATATGTACTAAGATAACATCAGCATTAGAATGATGTCGTCAATCACAGCCTGTTAAACATTCTATTTTCAAAGTAATTAATGACGTATTCTCTAATATTCTATTGAATGGAAATACCCAAGATCAGACGATTCCGATTGTTAATATTTATAAAATTGCTGTTTAGACATAAAGTACTTGGTTGGTCTAATATGTAGTTTCATACAAGTCTACTGCACTTGAGATAGGGTACGAATTCTCTTGTTAACCTGAAAGAGACGTGTATTATAGAAACAAAACCTTTTACCTTATGGTACCTGATCTAACCTTATACTATATTTTAGGCTTTAAATACGACAACATATTAATGGAAGAATCAGCCCAAATCCTGGAGATTGAGACGTTTATTCCTCTACTATTACAAAACCCTCAAGACGGTCGATCTCGGCTGAAGAGATGGATCATGATCGGTGACCATCATCAGTTGCCACCGGTCGTGAAGAACATGGCCTTCCAGAAGTACTGCAACATGGAACAGAGTCTGTTCACCAGGATGGTTAGGCTTGGAGTACCTTACGTGGAACTGGATGCTCAAGGACGAGCTAGGCCAAGGTCAGTACACTGGTTTCGTATTTATTATTATTACATTACACGGTAATAAATATTGCACATCGACCTTTGGAAGAAGACAATCGACCAATTGGCCGCATTTACTGGTGTATGATAATGAGCCGCTAAAACTAGTCGAACATTCTCGACAAGTATTGAAAAAGAAAAAGTTTTGTAAGAATAAATAAATGATCGTAATAACACAAAAATTGTCATCTTACTAAAGTTATTTTGGCAAAAACTAAATTCTTCCTTATTTGAATCATACTAAGGATGAGTTTTTATTTGTGTAATTTTGTTTACGTAGACTTTGCGTCTCTGATTATCATCCTTTTTAGATAAAACTGTATACCTAACACACATGAGCTTGTCATTGGACATGTGTGTTAGGTATACAGTTTGTTTGATTAGCATATCATAATGACGCGATATCTAAAAATTATGAGTGAAATATCATCACTTAATGCCTGTAGGGAATGTCAGGATGTATAATGCGCATTTTAAAAATTTGGCATTGCACTAATAATAATATTCATTTACTTCTCTCATCGCCAATTAACAATATACCACAAACAATTACACAAGAATAATAAACCTGGCACTGGTATATGTTGTAGGTAAAACTTTACATGATTTATGTCGTCAATAAATCCTTACGTAACACTATACAAAAGTAGTGACTCATAACAGCAGTTACATAACATAAACATAACATCGCGCATTTATTCCCCGAAGGGGTAGACAGAGCATGCACATTATGCCACTGTACAATGTAACACCCATTTTTCACTATTTATGTTATGAGCAGTGGCGTGCACACCATACATGCAAATAAGCACTGCATACCCTACAAAATCATGGCAAACCTACATAGTCAAATACATAGTGTCACTCATAAACACGACATGAATATTTACTGACATCATACAGAGATTTCGTAATTTTATTGATATTTAATTTGGAAAACTGGTAACTAACGCCATCTATCGAAAAAATATTGAAGTACTACAACCACTTTCTACTTTCTTCGATATTGGAGCATTGCGCCAGTGGCGCCGCCACCTCGCTATTGTGTGATGGTGGCGGAAGCATGTACTAATGCTAGCCGGTACATTTTGCTTGTTTTCTCGTGCTGATGTTGGATTTTTTTTTTGTTAGGTTGGTAATTTCTATACAACTGCAAAAGCACTGCTTCTTCGTTATCCGACTAATTTAGGAAGTCAACAAATCGTAGCGTTGGTTTGAAAATAGATAGGTATATTAATTTTGGTCAACTTATTGTTTACGTTTTTTTTTGGCCATTTTGTTTTGGTTATGTTTTTATGTGCAAGTGAATAAATAGTAATGTAATGAATTATAATTTAAATGAACTGTTAATTTACCGAAAATTATGTAAAATTATAGCTGTGAGCTCTGTGCTGGTGATTTGTGTTATTCAATATGAGTGCGTTGTCCTTATTGTCGTTCAAGAAGAAACGAAAATATTTCCAAAGGCGATTTTGCGTGTGTCGTATGTCCGGGCTAGGCGTAACTCAAAAAAGGTAATAATTTTATTATTTCTTTTAATAAACTACGATTTGCGATTATAGGTATAGTTTGTTAGCACTGGTGGTGTACCAATTTCATTATTGTTTTTAAACTCCAGTCATCTTGATCTCGCTGTGTACGACTTTTCTATACATTTAACGGTCAGTTTATACTGGTGCTACATAGCTTGATGGTCGCGTAACCATTTGTACTTCGCCGCTCCAAAGTAGGTACCTAGTTAATAGATTTATAAAATAGATGCCTAGGTATCTATGTTGATCAACTTTATACACGGATAGTTTGAAAATAATTATGTACCTAATTTGTTTATACAAATTAATAAAATACTTACTAAACCTAATTACCTACTCAAAATTATGATGTTTCGGGAGTTTTATTTTCCGAGATTAATGTAGACCAATTTTTTTTAATCATGTGATACCTTCTGCCTACCCTACTTCAAATCTCTGTGCACGCCTCTGGTTATGAGTCCCTTGTAATAGGGGGTGAGCCTATTGCCATATACCGGGCACAATTCCAGACTCCGTGCTACTACTGAGAATTTTTTAAAACCCAGTAATACTTTGCCCGACCCGAGAATCGAACCCGAGACTCCTTGCCCGGCAGTTGCACTTGCGACCACTCGGCCAACGAGGCAGTCATAGAGCATATTTCAATTTCATTTCCTACTTCAAAAATATTTTAAAATCTTCTCCAATGTGGCTAAGCTATTTTATATTTCTTCGCCAATACGTTTAATCATTTATTTTTTATTGTACAGTATCTGCAACCTCTACCGTTGGCGCTACCTGGCACTGGGTGATCTTGGTCATGTGACCCGCCTACCTGAATACCGAGCCGCCAATGCAGGCCTTCGATACGACTTCCAGCTTATTAATGTGGACGACTTCAACGGAGCTGGGGAAACTGAACCTAGCCCTTATTTCTATCAGGTACATATGTATATAGTTAGCTTCATATTACCAAAGTATAAAAAACATACAGTAGGATGACGCCTTTGATCTCGTGTAAATTGCCGACATCGTCTAGACAGTGACGCATCGGCCAGGGTTCTCAAAAACAGGGTTTTTAAACGAATTTTTTATTTTTTATTTATCATCGAAAATAGTGCCTCCTCCTTTTTTTGAAGTCGGTAAAACAAACACGCGTTAGCCCGAGCTACTAACATCGTTTTGTGCGCAGCTCGGGATCGGCCTACCCGCGTCTCGCCCTTCACACCCCGCAAGATTGCCTTGTCTAGACGTCTTCGTTGGACGACTGTATAGACTGTGATAATACCCCTTTTTTGTAAGAGTGGTTCGCCCATCCCACCCTGGGTGACGTGGGAGAGGTGTTAACCTTATACTGAATAAAGGCCATCCGTCCAAGTCCGTGTGAACTCCTATAACATCTTTGTCTTGCGCATTTGTCTTGATGTCGTTGATTCGATCGTTAGCCATACTGAACTGAAGACAAACATTTTAAATACGTTTTTTCACCTTGGTCAAAGACGAAATACAAATTTTATATTTTACTTACTTCATTCTGCATACTTTACAGTGTACATACGTTTGTATAAATATCTTTGTGCAAATTTGTGACACACCGTTCAGTCACAGAGTGATGGATTATATTTCGATTGATCACATTATATGAAAAAATTGTCTACGTAAGGCATGCAGTTGGCAGTCTGGGCTGGGAAACCGGTCGGCGTTCCGGGCGTATGGCACTTACCTAATAGGGTTACGACGGGCATCAAGGTGGCCGTGACCACCTGCGCGTATGGGTCCTGCTTTCTCCAGCGTTCTTTTATTGTGCTGGCATGATCGGATTTATGTAAAATATATGTATAGAGACGGACAATGACGTTCATATACAAAAATGCAGACGGCACTTTGACCTATAACTGCAGATCGCAGAACGCTTTCAGTGTGCCAAATCCTTTTTTTATTTTTGATGGGCCGACGTTTGGCCGCTATCTCGCATGGTGGCAGGCGAAAATAAGGTGTTGCTAACAATTACCATCTAATTATTTAATAAGAAGCACTATATCAAAATTTAAGAAAGAAAAATAGAAGATCTATCGATACTTCTGCAGGCTCTTTCTCAACAAAATTATTTTTTCTTTTTTTTGCCGTTATTTTGTAGACGAATTTCTCGTATAATGAATATACGTATTATTCAGTGCCGGTGACAAATATTGAATATACCTACCCAAATTATATTTAAAAATAGCAGATAGACTAGCTCTAAGTGCAAGGCAAAATTGCGGTATCCATTAGCTGATTCAATATAGTATCAAGAATTGATTAACGTTGGGTAATTAATGTTTATTAAACACTTAACATTTTCATTTACTCAAGACCGCTACCGTGGTTGATTCAGCCATTCTTTATGCGTGTTCAATTTCTAAATTCTTTACTTAATAGCACATCGGCAAAATACCTACGTATATTAGTTGGCTCATATAATATAGAAATTTATACGTAAGGTATAAATGAGAACAGACTACTGTTTTCTCTACACGTAAAAAGTCTCATTCGTCTTAATCAGTCAGGTTGTTTCTTGTTGGGCCAGTTGACCGCCACCGACACGGCCAGTCTCTTAATGTAGTTTATCATGATTTGGTGACAGATAAATGATTAAATCTAGCTGTAACCGATAGCGTGCCTGATCGACAGACAACGGACACTCCGATCTACACGTTATAAAAAGCTGATGACAACTAACATTTTGTAAATTCACAATGTATAATATATATTTTTACAGTACGGTAGATACCTACTTTTATAATACTGAACTCGTCATCTGAAAGGCATTTATAAATATTATGTAAATATGTTTTTAAAATCCTAAATAATTTGGCAGTTTCGTACAATTTCCTTGAACTTTTACAATTTTCCTAATCACACTGGGATTTCCTCGTATGCAGAGAATACATGGAACCAATCAACTGCCAAAATCGTAGGATGTAAAGGTCAATAACATAAAACATTTGGTAACGTAAACCAAAAAAATAAATAAAAAATAACGTAGACCAAACTAAAAGTCTAAAAGAAAGACGAGACTGTATTTTCCTGTAGCTGTACCTACGAACGTAATATTATTAAGTGGTTCTAACCTGACCTTTTCTAAAAATTCTTAATCCCACACGGAACACGGTCTGGGTGGCATGTGTATGTGAACTTGTATGTTAGTACCCACGACACAGAAGAAAATCCTAGTGTTGGGCAACGGTTTTAAAAAGATATAAAAATAAAAATTAGTCTGGCTTTTTTAAGAACATTATTCTTAAAATAGCAATTACGAGATTTTTTATAGTATAGTCTTTTATAGGTCTAATACTCATGTGATTGTGGTTGGTGTGGTGGAAACCGGTAAGGTTTCTGATAAACCCCACGTAGAAGATTTCGTTTTGGGGACCGTGGGCACTCATCGATATGTCATAGCCGTTATTTTTAAACTGTCGACGCATAAATTGTGAATAGTTTAATTTTGTAGTTAACAGTTTTCTCGTAAGATGCACAGGAAAAGATATATTGTAAAAAAAATTGCTTTCGGTCGCAATTTTTCGAAAACGGCGGCGCGAGTGGCACGCGTACAAAACGGAAATCAAAAAGAACACATCAAATTCTAAAAAACGCTCTGGTAACCTTTCCAGGTGACTCCATACTTGCTATTGGGTAGTTTCTTCACAACAAATGTTCCAAACAGACCAATTACTGTGCTTTTATTTTTCAGAAGTTCAACGGTACAAAGACCGGTCATTCCTCTTGGATTCTGACGTAACTGAGAATGTGAACAGAACCGTAATACGCGAGTATTACGATTGTATTCTGGATGCATATCCACATAACCTCATTAATTAATATCATTGATTGTTTAGACGATTTCGCATCTTGCGACAAACATAATCACTATAAAGGCCTACACTACAGCGAATTTTATTAGATCCGATCAGCCAGACTATTAAAATGCCGGCTCAAGGTAAGAGAGCAATGACCTTAACGACGCGCCAGTACTCACGTCTGTACTCATATGTTTAATACAAACACACTTATGATTGTAAATATACAGGGTATCCAGTAAATAGTGCACTGTACTATAAGGGGTGCTAACTGGGATCAATACCTACCTAAATAACCCCAACCCAAGCAACAAAACTTACTAAAAAACATTTTTTTCACTGAGATATGGTAAAAGTTGTGTGTCAAGGTAGAGATTTTTAGACCGTAGGTACAATTTCGCTGAAAATATAATGCGTTGCTTAGGCAGGTATTGATCCCAGCTATCACCCCTCACAGTATGGAGCACTTACTCGACTGTTTATGTAGTTTTGTATATGCTTTGGGTTACATATATGGCATATGTACCTACATACATATTGTATGTACATATGTCATATGACGACGACTAATCGTCGAAATAGCTTATAGATATTGAAATGAGCGACGAATATAGTCTTATAATTAATGTTTAATTAATACTAGCTGATGATGCCTGCGGCTTCGCTCGCGTTTATTTAGTAACCTACGAATGTCAACCTCCTTTTTAACCTTTCCTTTTCTAGATAGTTCACTCCAAATATAACTACTAACCTTTGACTAGTATTTTTCATACCTTATTTTTCCCCCTGAGGTGGAATTTCTCAAAATTCTTTCTTTGTTCGTTCAGTGCTTTCGGCTGTGCGTTGATAGATAACTATATCAGTTAGTCAGTCACCTTTGCGTTATATATACACTCACAGGCACATTTAACCGCCCACTTAAGAAATACGTCACCACGTTAGTTTGCGATAAGGAATGTTTATCCCGATGGATGTTTTGTTTCAAGTGGGTACTTTGGCAACAAATTAAACACTCTGACCCTTGTTTTTTTTAGAAGTTCGTGTATACAGATGCAATTTTGTAATTTAGTCGAAATTTGACATTCCTTGCGATCGGATTAGTGTGAGATTTAACCTGGTTTTCCTGCTCTTTTTGGTGTATTTACTGTTCTGTTAAGTTATTGCATTAATTTGATTACTGTAATCACACAAAAATGCCACTGGATGCAACTGGAGCTGCAAGAGCCGTAGCTTTTGCTGATGCTGGGTACAGCCAACGTCGCATTGCTCGGATGCTTTGTGTACTTCAAACCACTGTACGGGATGCTATCAGGCGCTTTCGGGAGACGGGTCCCAACAAGCGGAGACCGAGATAAGGCCGTCATCGGTGCACATCTGCTCGAGAGGATCGTTTCATTGTGAACAATGTGCTGAAAAATCGCTTCACCACTGCTCCCGAGGTGATAACTAGCGTGTTTGAAGTGCGAAATGTCAGCGTAAGGGAACGGACGGTGAGAAGAAGGTTGGCAGAGAGGAACCTGACTGCATTACGTCCTGCGCGCGCCCCAGAATTGCTCCCACAGCACCGTAGAGCGCGACTTCAATTTGCGCGAGAATACGCTGACTGGACTACGGACCGATGGAAGGACGTTCTGTTTTCAGATGAAAGCAGAATAGCCCTACGAGGTCCAGATGGGTGTCAGCGAGTGTACAAACGACCAAATGAAAGGTTTGCTCCGTGTACAATAGTGGAAACTGTGGGTTATCAGAGAGGTTCAGTAATGGTTTGGGGGGGGCATCAGTTATGACGCTCGTACCGACCTCGTAGTGTGTGATAGAGGCAGTGTTACTGCACACAATTAACTGGAGAAGGTTTTGCAAGACCACGCCGTGACATTTGCACCATTTTTGGTGACAATTTTCAATTCATGCACGACAATGCCCGATGCCACGTCGCTAGAATAGTGACCCAGTACCTGGACGAGGTCGGTATACGAACATTACCGTGGCCAGCACGCAGTCCTGACCTCAATCCAATTGAACACATCTGGGACAACCTTAAAAGACGGGTTCGAGCAAGGATTCCTGCACCAATGACTATTGGAGAACTCAAGATTGCTGCAGTAG